GTGTGTGTGTGTGTGCATTTCCCATTTGCAAAAAGCAGCAGCAACAGCAGCAGCGACCAGTGTTCAGACTGCTAATGTGAACATGATGGGGCAGTCAAACAATGAATGACAACAACAAACAAGGTGAAAGGTCAAATTGCTACTGATGAAATATCCACCTACTGTGGGGACCCACGCTCACATACACACGTACAGAAGAACAGACACAAACAGACATACACACACACATCTTCCACTTCTCATCCAACAGAGGGTAGATGAAAGAGCCTGTAGCTGTGGTTGGAGGATGGGAGAGGACGGGAGGATGGGTGGATGCTGGGTGAGTGAGAGGGGGGTGTAGAGAGCGTGGGCGACTGACAGCCACGAACAACAAAAGACCAGCACTGCCCCAAAGTTCAAAAGATCCCTTTCAACCAAGCATCTACCAATGTGCATACAAACACACATGCATGCGCCAACAAACATGGTCCAACTGAAATACAGGTATTATTTTCACATATTATCGGTGTGTTTAGTTGTGCATTAAAAAGAGCTCTATGGTAACATTTAACTGAGTACATGTGTGTATGTTTATAAATGGCTGTCATCATTCTCTCTGTATTGGATAATCAGGGGACCCTCCAGACTCAATGACCACATACTCAATGACGTTTTTTCCTGTCCAAGGGCTCTTGAAGATGGTATAGACATTTTCTCAACAAGGGATGCAGGCATGCACGCACAAGAATGAAAATTACATTCAGGCCAATTTGCCAGAAAGCTGCTGAGTCAAAAGAAAGACAAATCTACATTTCAAAATGAAAGCAGCGACTATCTTTAAAAAAAACACCACAGCTAAAGTAGCAGAGCTCCACAGGTGGTATCTTCTTTGTGGTCTTAGCAGCAGCATCACTCCCTGTGGAGAACAATCAACTCTAATCTACATTCCTTACTCCATTTCATCTACACATGCAACATCTGCGAGTATACACACACACACATACACACAAACTCTCCTTTTCCCATCGATTTGTTAACTATCTCATAATTCACCATATGGATGCAATTCTAATACTTTCTATCTCCTCTTTTCTATAATACCACAGTTCCATAATACAGTGTACTATTTAGTTTTACATTACAAACAACTTTGATTCAGAAAGTGGTGAAGCAACAGAGACAACTGGGAGAAGAATGGCAACACACTGACAGGCCAGGATCCAAGCCTGAGCTCTCCAGGGATACACTTTAAGCCTCGTAAAAGCAGCTTGTGCCAAACTCTGCTGCAACACTGCTGGTGTGACTGTGCAGCCTCCGAGAGTCTGTCTCTTAGGGACAGGGTTGTTATTGACAGAGAGAACAAGAGCTCTCTTAAAATGCACACAAGCACATGCACAGACAACCATAACAGAAGCACCGTAAACAGGATTGTAGAAAGCTCAGTTGTAAACAGATGATATAAAAGAGCAGAGGGTGACTCAGAATAAATAAATTTAAGAAATGTGACGTTCTAACAAGGCTTAGGAAATATGCTGCAAAGTACACCTAAAGTTTTGCGTAGCTTTGACAGAAGAGTCGACAGAAGAAATGTCACACATCATTAAGATAGATCTGCAAAACAAAACACAAATACAAACTGCTTGGCATACAGTAGTAGCCAGATTTGTTTTATGGGCCGGGACATCCTGATCAAATCAGTCTCTGGACAAATAAGTGAAATATACAAAGACAGATGTTATTTAGTTCAAGAAGTAGATGTCTGTATATTTACTATTATTAGTGTACTGCAACTGGACCTTCACGTCATTGCGTTTCCTTTTAACAGTCTGATAGTTGTGCTGTCAGCTCATAGCCAATATTTGAGATGTCTGTGAGCTAAAACTTGTAAATTTTATGTAAACTGTTTATCTATCTTTAATATCATGAAGTAGCATCTAATCTACCTAATGCACTACTTTTAACCATTCTATACAGTGTCCTCAAAAATCCCCACAATGGAGCAAAACATTTAGTGTCCATGACGTAGACTTTGAGCCAACATGTAAGTGCTTATCCATCCGTATATCTAATACTGTATCTATCCATTTATCTACTTCGGTGGACAGTTTGCCTGTTTCCTCCGTTCTCCAAAAATTATGTGTGAAAGAGAGAAAAGTTGAACAAAGGATAGATTTAGAGGCGTGCAGTAAAGCAACAATGCAGGACGGGTTGTTAGCTACAGAACTTAAGAGCTGAAAGCATCAGGCCAAGAGCTTTTCAGCTACCTATGTTTTATCTGCAAAAACACTTTGGTTGGACAGAATTTACATAATTGTAGCACTTATCGCGCCATCACTGAGAAAGTGAGAGGTACCCCGCCCAGTGAAAGAACAGTTGTCAAGGCAACTGAGGCGAGGGTTCAACGGGAGCATGTCAGTGGCCTTGAGAGATAATCAGGGTGGGAGGGGCTGAGGTAGCTGAGGTGACGTTAACACGGGAGCTCAGTTCAA